TGATTCAAAAAAGTCAGGAAATTAAACATTGATATCTTACTATTAATACTTGAAAATGTTCACCAATCTTGTATTCTTAGAATAAACTCCATACTGACATTTCACTTTTATTATATTTTACTGGATTTGAATTTGATTGATCTGTCTTTCTTTCCTTTTCTTGCTTACTTTCTTCCTCTTTTTCTCTCTTCTTTCTTTCTTTCATATACTGACTTAAAAAAAGAGTCTTTTTTTTAGTTGGCTCTTGTTATATACTTCTTTTCTTTTGGTTTTGTTCTCTCCAGGTATTTTTGATCTGTTAAAATAAATTATTATTTTGTTTTTATGTCTTTGTACTTTATAAACATCCACTTAAAAAAGAAAAAAGCCTTTTCCATATTGTTCCATAACACTGAGTTAATCAGAAATCAATTAACATTCAGATTCTTGATTTCATTCTCACTGGATTTCCTTATGTTTTAGAATTTTGGTTTGTGTATTTATTTGGTTTAAATACTTATTGATTTTATTTATGGTTTCTTTCTTTTCTTCACCTTTCCCATATTTTCTTCTTTATCAGTTATTTTACACTTGTTCAGAGTGGTTGTCATCCAAGTCTCCCATTCGGAACTATATTTAGAGTTCTCAAGAGAAAAAAAAAACAACAAGTACATATATGATTTACATAAATTTACTATGGGAATTAGCTCTTGTGATTTTAGAGGCTAAGAAGTTTCACAATCTTCAATTTGCAAGCTGGAAAAACAGAAAAGCTTGTGGGTATAATTCAGTTTGAATCCAAAGGCCAAGAATACCCATGTCCAAGGGAAGAAGATGGGTGTTCAACTCAGAACTGAGAGTGAGCGAAGCATCCTTTCTTTCCTTTCCTTTTTGTCTTGTTTGGGCTCTTGATGGACTGCATGATGCCTGCCCACATAGATGAGAGCCATAACCTTTACTTTCTTCTTTCAAATGCTAATCTCTTCTAGAAACTTCCTCCCAGATACACCCAAGAAATAAGGTTTTACCAGGTATCTGGGCTTCGCTTAGCCCAGTCCAGTTGACACATAAAATTAATTGTCACACTTCCTGTGGTAATACAGGGGATATCATACTCATAGTCACTTAATTTGATTTAGGTTCTTTGTCACAAAGGTTATGCCTTGTTAGCTGGTCTCCTTAGGCTATAAAGCAGAATCCCTAGACATAATCTTGGCAGCAGCTTAATTTTTAAGATTTCTTTCATGGAGACTCATTCCGATCCCTGCCTTTACCAATGAAAAGGTCTCTAGCTCCCCTGTAGTAGCCTTAATAATCTTGTCACTTGGCAGGAGTCAAATTCTAGACCATCACTGCGTGCAGGCCTGTGGCTCCAGTTGCTGCTCATCATTTTTAATTTCTATACAGAGGCAATGACTTTGAGTCCAAGTGTTTTGCTTTTGTTTGTTTCCTACCTATCATTACTATGTCTTTGCAGCAAGAAGGTGTGAGACAAAATGTGAAGTGACTGCAGTGGCTTGACAGAGATTCTATGTTCTTCTTAAAGAACTCACACGCTTCATCCTCCAGTAAATGTGCACCCTTATATTTCAGGTATTTCTGACTACAGAAATGCTGGGTCTTGAGGAAAATACAGGGTCCCCGCTTCCACTCTCAGCTCCTAGTGGGATATTCTTAGTCATATCTCAGGGACCTTGGCCTAGGAAAGGAAGAGGAGAGTTAGGGAGATACAAGCTTCAAAGACCATAAGCCCTCACAGTAAGGCTGCTAAAGGAGATTGGATAGAGGACTGGGGGGCTTCTTTTCCACCCTCTCTACCCCCCACCAAACTTCTAGAGGAAAACAAAGTCTTACTAACCAGAAACATTGATCTGGAAATGTTAAAAGAAACCGATTCCCTCAGTTGTGTCACTTTTACATTTTTCCCATGACATTTGAAACAATCATAAAAACAATTCCAATTGGATAGAAGATTGAAATGAAGAAAAATGGCCAACATTTTAATTGTAATTGACCATAATAGGGAGTAGAATTAGAATTCAAAATTTCCATGGTGGTTATTTTATATTATTTGTTCTTAATAAAAGTTCCTTAAGGAATATTTGGAAATAATTAGCATATTTAAATGAAATAAACTTGAATATTCATTAGTTCCTGATATTTGTTAAATAAAAGATTTCCACTGAGTCTTCATTGTAACTAAATCTGAATTGGAACAAGTTGAGAAGATGAATTTTTTTTTTTCCAAGAAAAAACCGAAAAACAAAACCCAATCAAGGGGAAATTTCTCCTTAAAACCCGGTAAAAAAAAAAAACCACAGAGGCAAATACAGTTTTGTGTGCATGTGTATGTGACTGTAAGGGGTTAAAACCCCAGGTTCTCTTAATTCTGTGAGCATGTGGTGGCCAGCCCAGAGCCAGATTGAGCCATGTTAATTTCCCAGAAGATTTCAAAGAATTATCTTTTGAAAAGGAGAAGTTTGGGCTAATAAAAACCAGGATAACCTCCGGCGGTCACATGGAAAAGAATAGAAACAAATTACTCCTGGCTTGTTCGACATTGTTGCTGGGGGCTTTCTCTAGCCAAGCCAGACTGCTTTGTTTTTCCTTATTCCAGAGAGAGAAGTTATTTCAGTAATGTCCTGGGAAAGGTAAAGCAAAGTTGTGCCAAGTGCTCATCCGCCTTCTCTTTCTTAGGTTCAGCTCTTTGAGAGAGGTGTTGTAAAAGGATCCTGAGGACTTTGGCATCATCAGACCCTGAGTTTGGATTCCTGGTTTGCCACTTGTATTCAGGGAGGCCTTGGGAAATTTGCATTTCCATTCTGAGTTTCAATTTCTACAACTATTAAAGCAGATAGTTAATGCTCTCCTTATGTCCATGATGGTGAAGGTTTGGATGATGACAAAGTCTATAATGTACCCAGTGCATAGAAAGAAAGCTCTGAAAATAATGCATAGGAATAAATGGATTCTCCTGCTCAGATCATCTCCTCCCTTTACTCACAGTTGTTGAAATTCTACTTTTTTCTTTGGTTTTTTTTTTTTTTTGGTGGTGCTAGTATTTGAACTCAGGTCTCATATATGCTAAGCATCTGCTTTACAACTGAGCTAAAGGTATATTTATTCCTGGTTCCCAAACCTCATCACTTCTATTAGTAGCTTCTTAAAGATTGTGGCCAGAAGATTAATACCGGTTATGTATTAATGTGTAAAATACCGGTTATGTATTAATGTGTAAAAAATTAAGCAGTTTTAAAACAATATCAGTTATATACTAGCTGTGTAAAAAAATTACTTCCCAAAACAGCAGCTTAAAACAATTTTGTTATGTTCCACCAGATTCTGTAACTAAGGAATTAAAAAGAGCACAGCTTCATGATGTTTATGGATTTAGTTAGGAGAACTCAAAGGGTAGGGGTGACTCACCAACTTGGGTAAAAAAATTATCTACAGCTCTGTTTATTCACATTTCTAACTGTCAGATCTCACATTAGGAGCATTCCCACACATTGTCCCCATGTGGCTTAGGCTTCCTCCCAATATGGCAGCCTTCTACTTCATGTATGGCAACCAAGGATCTGAAGGCAAGTTTCCCAAGAGAACTAGGCAATATCACTTTTTAGGTCCTAATCTTGGAAAAGTCATATCGCATCACTTCTGCTGCATCTTGAGCCAAGTTAAAGGGGAAGGAGCATAGAAGCCACATTTTGCGAGAAGGAACGTCATTGTAAGAACATGTGGAATGGGAGATATTGGTAAGATATCTTGGGAAATGATGATCTACCACAGGGGTGAGTCAACAGTCCTCAAAATATTTGATTGGGATCTGGCAGGAGTGGGAAAAAGAAATTGAAGAATAGCTAGAAGGCCATTGTCATAGCTTCAGGTGGAAATAGTGAGGGACTGAAAAAGGCAGAGACAGAATGGAAAGCAGATAGATGTCAGAGTTGGCATCAGATGGAATCAATCTCATGAAGGCAAAAAGGAAGAATAGGAAAAGGCGAAAGAGAGTCAAAAGGGCTCTGAGGTTTTGAACCTGAGTAACCAGAAGGGCGGAGCTGCCATTAAGTGAAATAGGGAAGTCACAGAGAAAAGCAGGAACCTCCTCTTTCCTCTTCCTTCACCACAAACTGGCCCCTTTTCCTGCAACTCACATTGGAACAGTCGAAATCTATTTTGCATGTGAACCCTTTGCTTTTTTACAGATCTGCAAAGTAGCTCAGATCCCAAGGCCTCAGTAAGTCCCTAAAGGGCTGGGATAATGACTCTCTAGGAGATGACATCAAGGGCTATGAGTGGAAATGGGGCCACTTATGAATCTGATTTGGAGTCAAAAGCCTGTGTTAACTTTAAGCTTTGTTTGTCTAACTAAAAATGCAGGAAGTTGGATAGGTGGAGCTTCTGCAGAATGTTTTGATATAATACCATCATAAAAAGGTGTCATGCGACCATTGTTTGTTAAAGCACCTCAAGTTTCTTGTTTATGCCATTACCTGTGCTTGGAGGTCAGGCCCTTAGGACTCCACAATTGATCATGTTTTCTTGACTTCACTAACAGTATCCCCTTCTGCTATGGGGTGCTGTCCAGGGCACAGAGATGGCTTAAGTACCTGGCTTTATTTTGTCCCTCCAGAGAATTTGGGGTTCATAAGAGAGGTTGCAATTAAATCACAAGATCTTTCATAAATGTTCCAAATGAATACTACCCTTGTCCTAGTGGTGCCTAGAGTGAGACAGAGCAAGTAGCTCAACAAAACTGCCATTGCTCGAGCATTTTTTTTTTTTTTTAGAAATTAGCCTTCAGGAGTTGCTTTTAGAGTCTTTCTGTGAATGACCTTCATTTTTTTTTAATCCCAAATTGCCTTACCCACCTATATAAATTAGGTCTCTTTTATTTATAAGTGATAATGATTAACTCAAGGTAAATATATTGGCTCACATAACAGGTTGGCATCTGGTGTGACTATATCCAGGAGTTAAAATAGTATCATTGTCTCTGCTCCTTTCATCTTTCTCTGTAGGTTCTTCTCATTCTCTATCACTGCTGATGGGCTTCCTGTATGTGCCAAGGAGTCCCAGACTACACCATCCCAGTTTGGTAACCTCAGGGGAAAAGAGAGCCTGCTCCCACCTGTTGCCAATCCAGATCTCATTTCTAGGTAGGACTCTGATTATCCCAACCTGAGCGTGTGCCCATTTCTCTGGGTAGGAGAGGAAACTTTATTACTGGGATGGGGGATGAAGGTAAAGATGTTGTGGACAAACAAAAATAGTAGTGGCCACTGGCTACCTCATCTCCTTAATGCTGATTAACCTGTAATTATTTCTAAAACCTATCCTGGTAGTTTGTTAAAAATGCTGATTCTTATGTTGCATCCCAACCCCTCTGAGTTAAAGGCCCAGAGTTTAACAAAATCCCCAGGTGATTCTTATGCACATTGACATTTGGGGAGAACTGAGCTCAAGTGGAAAGAAAGAATGGCCAATGGCTGTGACACAGCTTTCCAAAGAGGAGTCTAAGGAGCTTCTGCACATGGAAGCAGGTTATAGCAGGAAACCAGCTTACCCAGGTCAACACCACGAGGAAGGCAACAGGCTAGTGCACTAGATGCCTGTCCCCGGCAGGAACTCAAAGACCAGAACTGGGGCACAAAGCCATAGCTAGGCTAGGCTGAGGTGATGATGCTGGTTCTGCTCGACTACTAAATAAGAAGCTCTTTGAGTTCCCTGATGGGATGCTGGAGTCTGAGTGGGCTGAGTCTATAGGAGATGTTGTCAATGCTTCCACACCATGGAGATGAAAGCCTGGAGATCAGGAAGAGTCTGTCTTCAGAGTTATTATAACTCAAGCATATCTCCACCCCCCTCTCTTTTTAAATGAAACTTCACTACAGCCAGTGGTTAGAGTAATTCTGAAATTTGGATCCTATCTAGTTGCAAACAGAGCTACTTCATGCATAAGAGTTTATGCAAAACACAATCTTACCTAGACAGACTTTGCCCTTTCCCAAGTGCATTAGTCATAGGAGTTAGATGTGGAAATGAGATAAATTCTCAGTTGGCTCAATCAGTTCCCTTCTCTTTTATCTATTTATTTAAATAGAGTATTCCTGTAAGAAGGGCTGCAGAAATAAAGCCACTGGAAGTTTAATTAGATAGAAAGGTTTTGAGGACTAGAGATCTGGACCAAAAATTTAAATGGCTTTCTGCTCCTTGGCTCAAGGCTCTGGGACCTTTGCAAACACCACACTGGTGCACTACAAGGGGAGCAGATTTCCCCTGGGCCTTGCAGCTGCCCTGTCCTTTCACAGCCGCACGCATGGTGTTCTTCATGTACATGTGTCTTTTCAGGATTGTCCTACAGTCCTGTGAGCTGGAGAGGTGCTTTTGCTTCCAGTAAACTCCCAAATTCTAGAGGGGGTAATGGCCACTGGATTTGAATCCTCTCTTTGCCACTTATTACATACATGATATTGGACAAATTACCTATCTTTGGTTTTCTCAAATATGGTCTAAGGTTAGTGATGGGGTCATTATGAGGACTATATGAGAAAAATGTGTGTGAAGCACGGAGGAAGAAATTGTGTGATTTTTTTCTTAATCTTATTCTGAGCACTTGGCACAACATTTAACAGACATTTAAAGTACTCATTCCATGCTCAGAATGTGGTAAGCACCTAATCAAGAGTATTTGTTACTATTCCCTGACCTTTGTTTAGTTTTGCAGGATGCTTTTTCTGAAGTTGCTGCACATCCATTGTATTCATATGTGATGAATATGAATTAACATTTATTAGTCCAGAAATTGATGATGTCCCTTCCTTGAGATGATTGGATGCATCCTGAGGTTTTAGAGAAATATGGAGTCCTGAAAGAATTCAGTGTCCACAATATGCATTTTTGGGTGTTGAGAATATTAATAAGAAGGGACTGTCACTCCTTGCTCACTTTTTTCATTTTTGCAAATGAGCTCAACCAGGCAGGGCTCAGGGGGATTTGAATTAGAGATTCTTCAAGAAAGATCACCTTATTTCCTTTTGTTGGTTTTAGAACTAAGCCTGTGCTCACACAAACAAGTATTTGGGTTCTTAGTTTGGGCTCATTTTTCACTTCATTGGGCACAGTTGTTGAAACCTCATCTGCAGAAGCCGGGCACCTGAACTCAAGAGGAGATTAAAATTATGGTTTTACATAATTATTGTTTCCTTTCTCCTTGTTTGTTTCTTAGTGGGTAATTTTTCCTGAGCATGCCCTGGGCCTTTCTTCTTTACTGACTTCTTCAAGCAGATCTCTTCCCCTTGAACATTCCACTCCTCTTGTTTCTTGACTCTCTTCTAATGTGACCGATCTTAGATGATTTTGTTCAGTGTGTGTCTGAAAAATATTTTTAGCACTGCCCTGCCTGGACCATGAGAATCTCTTCTTATTTAACTCCCCAGAATGTGTGTTGTCTGAATCCTTCAAGGTTTGGGGCTCTCCTTGTTCTTGTGGGGATTTCCTATGCCTGTTCAGTGCCCCCTACAGATGGCAAACTCCAAGAGGGTGGGGGACATTCGTAACCTTCCATCTCCAGGGAGCTGCTAGCAAAGGTTTCATTAGGTGGGTAACTTTGGGCAAATTACTCATCTTCTCTTCATCATGAAAAGGGGATCTTGTTACCCAACTCATAGGATGATCAGCCTAACAACCCAGCTTAGCATTCAATGTATTTTTACCTTCCTCCTTTACTCTTTGTACTTCCCAGATGTTCAGTAAATATTTCCTGAACAGATTATTTAACTAATAAATATACACATGGAATAATTTCTATATCGAGGTGCCTCTGGCCCTGTTGATGTTTAACTTTATTCATGCTGATGACATAATTATTATATAAATGACAATAGGAACTATAGACTATTTCTCCTCTGGGCTATTGGTAAAGGGTTGAGGTAGAATAAGGGTAATTCAACCTACGTCAACACTGGCTGTTATTCTGTAGAACTTTTGCAAGCCCGATATGCTAACCCAAAAGGCTATATTCCATTGTTGTTTCAATGTATTTGTCTGATTGCCAACAATGTGAAGCATTTGTGAAAAACTAATGGAAATGTGCTTGTTAAACCACTTGAAGGCGACCTAGTGCATCTGTGAGACACAAGGCAGGATTGAGATGGCCAAATATGCTGGCAAGTGCAACCAAATTCCCAAGACTTACCAGGCTAGGCAGACATACAGACGGTGGGAGACCATGAACATGTCTCTCCTGCCCAGAGTTACAATCAAACTCCACAATCCAGGGAATGAGTGGCTTCTTACCTTTGATGTAAAGGCCCATCTCCTTGATGCTTACTTCCTGTATTAGGACCACACTAAGAGTAAATACGTTTTCATTGAAGGGGAATCACTTCATAAGGAATAAACTGCTACCTATAGAGAATGGCCCTTGCTTTGGGTTTCTCTGGAACAGCCTTGAGAACTCAGTGAAGTGGACTGTTAAGTTTTGTGACTGCTGCTCTGGAACTTTTGTGGAAAGATTAGGATAGAATTTGGCTATGCTTGTTTGGTCTTTTAGGGAGTCTGGCCTCCCTAAAAGTGGCAATTGGCTTCCAACATCCTCTCAGTCTTTTTCCCACTCTACTATGAACCAGCCCTTGGAAAATAAATGAAAATAATATATCAACCAAGAACTGAAAATAATTTTCAGAAACTATTGAATCTAAAACCATCTTCAGAAAAGTAATAAGGGAGCGTGCTCACCATGAACAACTTTTTACATAATTATGCAAATCAATTTGACTCAGTGAGCTTGAATATTCCCATTCTGAAATTGGATCTCTGCTGTCTCCTTGCCTAACCAAAAAGTCCACTGAAGTGGTTGTTCCTAATATGAGGGGGTGGAGGAATTCAGTGTTCTATATTTCTAGATAAACTAGTTCACAATAAAAGATTCTGGCTTTCCCCTGTCTTCTAACCATCAAAACTATACAATACTGATAGAGGAGGACAGAGGAGAAAGAAGCTGGGTTTCAGCTAGATGCCATTGGTGGATATACAAATGGGCACCAAATTTCTTTGCTGTCATTTCTAGTAGTGATTCAATTAGGCAGGAAGAAACCAAGGTCTACATCAGAACTGGATTCTGAATACCTTCAAGTAGGATTATCACCTAATGATTGAGGACTGTCCTTGCTTATGCTTGAATAATGGGGATAAGAATTCCAGGCAAGGGGGTAGGATGGAAAATAGAATGAATAGGACATTGTTACCCTCTGTACACATATGACCACATGACCAGTGTGATTCTATATCATGTACAACCAGAAGAATGAGAATTATATTCCAATTAGGTATGATGTGTCAAAATGCATTCTATTGTCTTGTATTTTTAGGACAAATTTAAAAAATAAAAAAATAAATTCCAGGCAAAAGTTAAGGCTTTAAGGTTGGCTGTTAGTCTGGTGCTGTTCTTGACTCTTTCCTCCTGGGACTTTCCATATAATAAATCAATCTATCAACACTTAGTGAGTGCCTGTGAAGAAGTAGGCACTGATTGGCCTGCAGGTAACATACAAAAAAGAAGGAACAACTGAAACTTCCCTTTACTGCATGTAGAAAGAGAACTGCTAGAATGTAATCGATATCATGTAGGATAGGAAAGCACGACCAAGACCTTTGGAGGAGAGACACTGTGACTTCAGATCCCCAATTGGATGAGGCAGTTTAGCATAGAAGTAACTGCCTGGTAGAAATTCTTTCTGTACCACTTGCTAGTTGAGTGACCCTGGGCACGTTAGCTGCATTTTGCTCTGGTTCTCAGTTTCTACTTCCAGGGATAATGATAGCTGTGTTAGCTATTGCATAGGGCTGTTGTGAGGTCTAAGTGATGTAATTCATGAAAAGTGTTTAGAATGGTGCCTGGCACATGGAAAAAGCTTCTTGAATGCCAGTTACAGTTATTATTACCCTTTCTCTGGCTGTGAATGTCAGGGTTCCTGGCAACACAGGCTCAGAGCTAATATGAAGAAGGGTAGTTAAGGATTGCTACAACTGGCAGAAGAGAGCAGGAGACCACTGAATTTCCAAGCAAGAAAACTCCTGTCTTGGAGTTCTTGTTCTTTCATTGTGAAAAATGTTCAAACACATAAAGCTACAGAGAGAAAGGTGGAATACATACTTACCAACTCATTTCTTGAACATACCAGTTCTTGACATTTTTATCATACTTTATTTAATGCAAAGATTTTATTAACATATTTTAAAGTAAATTACAAATATCATTATGTTTCATTTCTTGCATCACTGTGCAGCTCTATAACATAAGAACCTTTTCTTCCACAACCACAATATCATTAATCCTCTTAACCTGTCAATAGCTCCCTAATCAAACACCCCAGTATTTTGGAATATTTTTGAATGATATTTTGATTTCAAGACAGGTTATATTGGGGAGGAGACCATTTTGAAGACAAGATACAATGACCGTACACGGGAAAGAATGTTCCAGGTATTAGGATGAAGAGGGGAATGTATGGATTGGTCAAGGTCTCCCTTATGGTAGTATATCCTCCACCTACCCATGGAGGAATATAGTCTGGCCTGAGATCCTTTGTGTGGATAAGCTTATTACAATTTGCTTCTTTTGAAAGGAGGAAAACATGTTTTTGAAGACTGCTTGACAGACAAGGAGGATATTAATAAATGACATGCAAATTTCTTAATTTTACTTTGGCTGGATATGTGATCGCTACTTCTGCAATACAGGCTGGTGATGGAGATTCTTTTTTTTTTTTAATAGATTTTATGAACTCTGAGTTTATGTTGGATTGTCCAGCTGAACTTGGCTTGTGGCTAGCAGGAAGGATCATTCTGACTTGAGAAGGGTAAGATGAGGACACACCTAAATGAAAATTGGCCTTACATGAAAAGTTGAGAGTTCAATTTGGAGACTGTTTCTTGGGTGCATATACTGCAGAGGTTTGACTGAAAAGCTGCTTCAAGTTCTTTTTATAGCTTTGTTGTTCACACATGAGAAAGTGATTTCATTGATTGGCCTTTTTACACTTAACTATTGTGTTGTGGTTGTTTTTCTGTTTCTCTCTTCAATTCCACATGTGAATGGGTGAGTTCCACTCCCCACCATCCGAGCGTGGGTGCTCTGGGGCTTCTCAGTTCAACTGTCCTCCCTCCTTCTCCCATGAACAAATGTGAGAAGCTGCTTAAAGAATTATCCAGCTCCTTTCTTGCCACTCGGTGAGATACCCAGGAATCTCCTTTGGTCTCAGTGCTGGTCTGTCATGTTGCACAGTGAGAATTCCATGGTTTGGGGTAGTGGTAAAGGACATAGGTTCTAGAACAAGATTACCTGGACTGAAAACCTGCTCCCACCACTGAATGCTGGTTTCTCTTTGCTTTTTTTCTTTGCTTTTTTCTCTTAGCCACTTGTGCTTTTTCCTTTAATATGACAAAATACTTGAGATAATCAACTTAAAAGGAGAAAAGGCTTATTTGGCTCACAATTTCAGAGGCTTCAGTCCATGGTCACTTGGCTCTGTTGATTTCAGAATTGTAGAAAGACAGCACATCATGGTGGGAACACATGGCAGGAGAAGCTGGTCACCTCATGGTGTCCAGGAAGCAAAAAGAGAGACTCAAGAATTAGGATTCTAACATCCCTTTCAAGGGCATGGCCCCAGTGACCTAGCTTCCTCCAGTAGCCTCACCTCCGAGACATTCCACCACCTCCTAATAATGTCAAGCTGGGGACCAAGCCTTTAATACAGAGCTTTCGAGGGACATTAAATATTCAAGTGATAGCACCATTCTCTCATATTTACTCTTTTGAAAAGATATTTTCACTTGTCATGGAAAAGATTGTCCCTCCTCATTATGAATGAATCCCTTCCTTATATAATAAGGAAAAATAGCAACTACAAATTGAGGGTGAATGTTAATATTTAAGATGACCATTTGTATCCCGCTAGTTGTTCCTAGCTACCTGGTTAACTTGGACTTGGCAGCAGGAACTCAACCTTCATCTCCCTCTCTTTTTATAGACATGTTTTCTCTTGCCTGTGGATTTTGTGTATTGAGAATAAAAAAAACCACTGTATCCCCATTTCAAGATAGAAAAACGACTGCTTATATAGAGGAGCATTTTGATAAGATCTGGAGGTCATAACGAGATACAAGCCAAACACAATTTGATTTTGAAAAGCTCTTACTTAAAAAGTAGCCCATCACTTATAAATCCTACTGCAGGAGTTTATGTCATACTGTGCAGTCATCCATAAATTTAAAATAATACCACCAACTACAAGCAAGTCATGGGCTTTGAATTACTTGTGAAATAGTGTTTGTAGATGCCAGCACTGACTTTAAAATAGGTGAATTTTGAGCCTTAAACCCTAGCCTATTAACATTTTTCAGAACTCTACTGAGAAGAAAGCTCATGGTGTACTGGGCAGAAAGTTCCCCAAAGAGGAGAAAGACAAGCAATGCCAGTGCACAATTCTGGATAATTCTTTAAGCAGCTCCATGGAGTATGAATTTTTTTTTTTAATTTGTGGCTTAGCAGAGAAAAGGGCTTTCTTTCTCTGCTAAGCCACAAATAAAAAAAAAATGAACCACCTTCTTGGTGATGCATGCTAATCATTTCATCAAGCATCATTGGACTGGAATATGAAGATATAGCTGTCACGTCATTCCCATCCTTGTTCAAGGCCACAGGCATCACAGACCTTGGGACTCAAGTGCTCTTGTTCAGATGCTGTGCTACAGAAGCAACACGTTGGCTGCATACCCTCTGGAAAACCATTCAAATTGTATGTGGTAGAATGAATCCTGACTTTATACAGGTATCCAAATTCCTGGCTATATCCGAGATACTGTGGTAGATTCTGCTAATTTTGTTCACCTGACCCTCTCCGTCTTCCTCAGGTTTCCTCTCCTCAGGGCCTCAATTTTACAGAGGTAACAATATAACTGAATGGCCATATTCCCTTTCTCTGTGTTTGGACAGCTCATGGAATCCATTTACCATAGTTCTGATCATGAGATCTGGGAAGAAGTCCTTCCAGAACATGTACCTCTTAAGCAAATGGCAAAGCTCCACAAAGAGAAAGCTCTCCTTTTTATCCTTTGCTCTTCTGCCTTATTATGGTTTGCATCAGAAATGTCTTGCCAAGTCCTGTGTGTTAAAGGTTTGGTTCCCCACCCATGCAGGTGTAGGGAGGTGGTAGAACTTTTAAGAGGTGGGGCCTAGTAGGAAACGTTGGGTCACTGGAGATATGCTCTCAAAGGGGGTTATCTCTTCCTTCCTTTCTTTCCATTCTCAGCCACGTGCTCCTGCCATGATGTGTCCCCACAGACCCAAAGCAATAAGACCAATTGGTCATGGACTGAAAGCTCTAAAACTGTGGATCAAAATAACCTTTTTCTCTTTATACATATATTAATCTCAGGTATGCGTTACAGTGGCCAAAAGATGACTAACACACCCCTGGAATGCAGATATCAAGACTCTGGTGACATTCAGGAAACGCATGTGAGATCCCAATCATGATAAGAATGGAGTGAGGGATAGAAAAATGGAAAGAACCCAGGTCCCCAGAGCATCAGTGAATAACTGCATTGCCCTGATTGCAACCTCCACAACTCCTGTTGTGGGAGACAAATAAAGCTCACTTTCTCTCAGTCACTATAGCAATGTTTTCTGTGACTTGTAGCCAAATGCATTTTTAACTGATACTGATCCAAGGAAGTTTCTTTCAGGAAACCTAAGCCAAACTCACTTAGCAATTCATTAGCTTCTAGAAAATAGCACATTTCAGCCGGAAAATCCAGTTTAAATAAGTTGTTGTTTCTCTTATATTTCTGTTTGGACCAGGTGATTCTAGACATCAATAATATTTCAATTGTGTTCAGTTCTGTGCTTTTTGGTGACGTGTTACTTCCATTCTTCTATTATCACCATCTTAATAAAAGAAGCAAATGGATGGCCATATTTTTGCTTAGTGTCTCTGCTCTGATCCTTGCTGCTAAAGCTCTTCTGTATTATTTTTTTTTTTCTTGAGTCAGGGTCTCACCATGTTGCCCAGGTTGGTCATGAACTCCTGGACTCCAATGATCCTCCTGCCTCAGCCAACTGAGTAGCTGGGACTACAGGCACACACGACACCACTTCTGGCTTAGCTCTCTGTATTGACTGCTAAACAGTTCAACACCCCAAAGGGGGGTCATATTACTTTAGTTTACATAGCATGACCTTGACCATGTGTCAGGAGGAAAGCATAAGGAACAGTATCAGATGTCCCTTGCATGTTTTATTTATTTATTTTAAACATTTGTTTACTTAACAAATACAAACTGACCATGTGTGTTTTAACAGTCTTCTCAGAAGCTAAACCAACTCCAAAGAAAGTTTGCTTTTGTCCTGAGGCATCTGATAACCTCATAAGCTCCACTCCAATGGAATGATTATTTATGTCAAAGTCCATCATAACTTGCCTGAGCCATTCCTCGGTATAAATCGGCCAAAGTCAGTCTTCTTCAACCCAAACAACTAAATCAAGTCAGATATAAGGAGAGAACTAGAAAGTAGACCAGAATACTTTTATGGGTAGCCAATAAATTTTCCATCGGTATTAACTATAAAATATGCCCAAAGTGGGGTGAATGTCACTTGAAAATACAGTTCACTCTCCTTGAAGTCATACACCATATAGTGTGGTACTATATGCTCTGACCATAGTTTGATGAAGGCTGAGGTTAGTGCTCTGTCTTTGCCATTGTGAGTGGTGGCGGCTGTCAATCAGCAGGTGGCTCATCTCGGTCCAAGGACTTTCAAAATGACCACGTGACTGGTCAAATAGGCATTGCAGGCCCCCAAAAGCCAGGAAACAGAAGAAAAGCCAAGAAGCATAAATCCTCAGTCCAAGGGGCCAAAGGCATGTCCAAGATCTCCATACAGGACTTCAGCAAGGACCAGAGTGGAATATTAATAAGATCAAATTTTCTAGAGGCCGCAATTTGTTTTAGCAGTAATTTGAGTTGAAGGTTTCTGGTGCATTTAAAATAATTCCATTTCAAGTTGACCTGGCTAGCATTTCCAGATTTAAAGAGGCCCTCATCCTTTGCCAGAGAACCTTCTACAGTCAAAAGAGGAGACTAGAAGAGAATCTAAAAGTCTGTGGAGCCCTGAGTTGGACCCACTGTCACCTCCTTGTTGCTTGGAAAGAACCTAGTCCTAGGAATTCTGACAGTCTACACTGGAGATGTGGAAAGTCACTGCATCAACTGGAATATTTTCCTGAAGCATTAATTTTGTTTGATGATAAATAACCAAGAATACTTTTACGCTTAAATAATATATTTTGTCATATAATAACAAACTTGCATGATTTTAGAAATGAACACACATCTTCAAAACAAAATCTGCCTTTTCAGTTTCACAGTTCTCTGTGCTGGTAGGAATAGTCATTCCAGGTCGGTGGAAAGTTTTGAAAGTGATAAAGATATGGCTAGTGCTCTAGAGGTGCAGAGTTCTATATAGATGTTAGCCTTAGATAGCGTCTCCTCCAGATAGGGCCATGTGTTTATTTTCCTCTCTTTAGTTCTTTCACAAACAATATAGAAAAGAACAAGGAAAAAAGAAAATATTACTCAAGATCTCATATTCTGAATAAAACCACCAATAACATTTTGGTGAGTATCTTTCAGGATACCTCTTGATGCACATAACCCATGATGATGTGTGGATTCCCCCCACCTCCTTCTTTTTTTTTTTTTTTTTTTTTTTTTTCTTTTTTTTTTTTTTTTTTTTTTTTTTTTTGATACCAGGGATTGAACCCAGGGGTACTTAACCACTGAATCACATCCATAGCCCCCCGCCTTTTTTTGTATTTTATTTAGGGATAGAGTCTCACTGAGTTGCTTAGTACCTCGCTCTTACTGTAATTGGCTTTGTATTCTCGATCCTCCTGCCTCAGTCTCCCAAGCCACTAGGATTATAGGTGTGTGCCACTGCGCCCAGCTTGTGGATTCTCTCTTACGTAAAGGGGATCATATTTGTCCATTTGCTTCTGTAATGCATGGGAAACTTGAAATTTTCAGATCAGCTGGAGAGTTGACTCAAACAAGATTTCTAGATATCTTCTCATAGGAAACAAGGTCAGACACCAATGTGAATGGACAAAGCTTTTTACATTTATAAAGATATAATAAATATACCCTCCTCTTATTTTTAACAACAATAAATAGGACTTACAGGTGCTCAATAATTGCTGGGTGTGTTTCCAAGGCTGCAAATTAAGATGTCCCTCCTTTAGGTCAGGAGGAGATCATGTAGATGAAAAGGACCGTTAAGTTCTTTTGTTTATTTGCTTGTTTTCTTGGCTCTGAAGCCTGGACCCACCAGAGCATCATTTCCCAGCATCTTGGTGGTTTTACCATTACCAACATCTCCCCCGAGCTCCAGCGGTGACATGTAACCCCTGCTGATGGACCTAGAGAGCTGAGCCCATCTGCTGATACTGACAATGCTGGATGTGACATAAGCCTGCTGGGGTGGACACGAGCCAACAGTGGCCAACAGCAGGTGGCCCCATGCATGGTGCAGTGAGCCCGATTGAGTGACATGGGGCAGGGAGGCAGAAGACACCCTGCATGGACACCCTGGGTACAGCTGCCGCCCTCTGGCCCTGGGCAGCTGTGCTGGGAAACCCAGCCCAGGCACACCTGCC